CTCCCGCAATCTCTATGCCATCTAGTACTTCCTGATTCGCCGACTACGACGAATCTCTCCATTCTCAGTTTTACCACGCCAGTTCTCATGACAAGGGTTGGTCGAACGTGATGGTTGCTGGGATTCACCCGCCATCCACCCTTTACCATCCCGCTTACCCTCAGAGAAATTACCTCGCTTTCGCTTTGCGTCGCAGCGCCTCAGTTCAGCCATTGCGTTGTTGTCCCTCTCCATCCGTAGCAAGCACTTGACAGCTGCAGATCGTCTAGAGCTTGAGTGGGTCTCAAGTTCAAGCTTGCGTTCAATTGATTCGCGATGCTGGAGTTCGACTTGATGTAACCTTTGGTTTTGCTTGTTAATTTCTTTTTGTACTTGGCTTCTCTGAACTTCGGATTGGTCCACATCGATAACAGTCTGGCCAGACCCAAGCCCTGCCGCGGTATCTAGTAAACCTTGGTACAGTATTAGCTGTTCCTGATTTGCTTTGAACGTCTGACGAAGTGAACTCAAATTTCTCATAACTCATGTAATTCACCTGTCGATCGTAGTAAGACCTCATGATCCCCATCACCACTAGTCCCTGGTGAAGTGTGGGCTTTGGTGTGTCCACAACGAAACCATCCCCGAGGCATTTGGCCAAGCCTGCAAGGTTTTCATGTCCAAAATAAGGGAGAAATACTGGTGGCTTGCGCTTTTTGTCGTGCACTCTTCTCGGTTTGCAGGATTTTTCATGCCGTCGCTGGTTCTGCTTGGTTCGCACCTTTTCACAACTGGGACACGTGTATTTGGTCTCCGACATAATTTATGTGAGGAAATAGGAGAGTAAAGGTGGGAACGAGGAGTGAGGAAGAGAGGGAGGAGGGAAAAGAGTGAGGAAGAGAGCAAATAGCATGCATTTTCCTAGACGCCCGATCCACGCGCCACCTCTCCGACAATTGTGCAATGTATATATCTGTGGCTGCGAGCCACTTGCGTAGTTCCGCAGCTCACCACGACCCTCCATTCAACCCTTGGCCACACCAACCTCACCTGGTTAACACCTGCTCACTCCGATGTACCTCGGCGTTGAGCGAAATTACTCCACCGTTGACGACCATCTCATTCAGAGAGCAACACCCCAACATACTCCCAGGTCCAGATCTCTGACTTCTTCAACATCTCGCGTCCGCGTCCTGGTGTATGTCTTTCCCGGTCGAGTCAGGTGCGAGAGAGTCTCGGAAAGACGCGTCAGGGGAGAAGTCATATGCTCGGTGTCGCAGCTTCCACTGTGCTCGCACTCCACTTTCGGATAAGGTGGAGGGGGCCCACCGTGCGAAAGGAGGGCGTCTGTGCTGATGTCTTGGTTCGGAACTACCAGGGGCTCGATCGACGTACTGGGCTCTTGTTCATCTCTGCGCTTGAATTGCAGTATCAAGCTGAGGAGCAGCAGGATTGAAGCGACAAATGCGAGAGGCACCAGAGGGAGGTACCTTGAATTCTGTGGCCAAACGAAAGGAGCCATTACAGAAGATGATTGAGTGTTACGATGTAGATGATACAGTAGGTTCTGTATCGAACGAGGTCTTTGTTGGCACGAAATGTATGCGGACACCAGATATCATCCATTGATATACAACGACGGTTTCAGCACTGCCTTATCAGCGCCACAACTCCGCCTTGGCCCGTCCAACTCTTCAGCAAGTGTCAACGTGATAGCCGCTGCTGCGCCTTTTGGTCAGGACGACACCCCGTAGTCATAGTCAAGTCTAGTATAGGATGAATTGCCACGGTGGACTAGGTGCCCCAATGAAAGCATGCCATTGCTGCATTCCCACGTGGCCGACCATTCCCAATGCTCAACTTCATCAGGGCTGACATCGACTCCGCTCATCTCTGGGCTTTTCATGTATGGGAAAGGGAGTATGCCTCGTGGGGCACAGCATCCTACGGATACGTCCACCAATGGTGGACGCATTTTCTGCGCCCCTGTTTGCTCTACTGTGTGGCCCTTTTGGCACGGAGCTGAGTTTCCGGCGGCAATTAAGTCCATGAGGTTGCGGTGGGGCCGGAAGTATGACAAGGTTTCCGGCGCTTCATACGCTGTGGGAGAGCACTAGTGCCAACCTGAAACCTTTCTCCATTGCAACCACATGTGAAGCACACTATCGAGGGTCAGTGTTGTGGTTGCGCACTGTGCAGAATATGGGGTGATAGGGCGCGGCATAAGAGGGTTACATTGAGGAGCCCTCAGTAGGGTCTGGTCGGCGGTCGCAGTTCAGGCCAGAACGACGGCCACAGAGAAGGAAGGGTGTGCAGCGAATGAGATTCCGGCGCGGCGCCTAAAATCGAGATCTAATAGGGTGATAAGTCGAAGAACCTTGCAGACTAGCTTGTCATCTTGGGGAATAATGGTTGGTGACAATAGCCGAGCTCCGGTGACTTGACAATTTGCAATTGTGCTGACGACCCAGGTCCAGCATGGATCTCCCGTACTGATAGTCCTATGCCTGTCGGTTGAAGTGGGAGCCAACTAGTTTAACTTTTTATGAGACCTATCGGGGATGTCATTGATAAGGGACCATGCGAGTTCTGGTACTATCACAACTTCTTGTCTGATCGTCGTTGGTCTCGTCCTTGCTACATCCCTCATTGTCATGATTGGCCTCCTTTTCTTGCTGCTGACAATAATTCGCACTCGCCTCCACAATGAGGAAGATCCTTTGTCTTACGCAAGTCGTCGGTGCAGCCCTCCGCGAAAGCGATCCGATTTAGCTCACAATATTACAGGAGTTGCCACGAGTGCCCCATGGTGACAGTCCTTTTGTTCATACTTTCCGCCAAAAGAGACAGTCACAGTCCAGGCGGCCATTGATGGAGAATGACGACAATGACCGAGTAGAAGCCGTGGACAAGGAAGAGATCTTGCAAACTGTGACGGTGGGGATCGGCGAGAAGGACGGTCCGCTATGGTGCAGAATTAAGCAAAAGAATTAAGGCAATAAGCCCACGAGCTTATGACACACGGCATGTGCACTTGCATTCCCAGAGTGATACATTGACTTTGGTGGTTCTAACGACCCGGTGTTCTTCGGGGAACAGCCCACAATGTCATGTCACTTCGCCACTTTGTTGTTGTGTCGTCCTACGAGTTCGTGATAGTCAAGCCTGCATTAATTTGAATGGCCCGGAGAATGTTTTGTTGTTATATACTCCATTTTCCAGGCTTGCTATCAGGTAAACACTTCACTTTGTGGTGGACTTTGGCCAGAAAATTATTGGTTTGGCCAAAGACATTTCGAGTGTGCTCACCCGACGCCTGTCATGTGGCACAATGACCGGATCATTTTGACAATCTTTGGAAACTCGTGGAAGCCGGCCTTCCAGAGGAGCTTTCAACTTTGACTGATGTACCTATACAAGCAAAGAATAGGGCAAACAGGCTCGTGCTTGTCACAGCGGTCAATTTCGGTTAATCTCGACGTTGATGAACTAATATGTGTAGCTGAAGGAGGCCTAAAGCTATGCTGTACAACTTTATTATGGTTATAGAGGTTGAATATGATACAGTGCGGCCCTGAACTGTTTCTCGAGTGCCCGATGAGATCGACCGCGTGCAGGACGCAATATGGCACCGGGCCATTTTGGGAAGTTCGAAATGTTCGACTACGAACCCATAGCACCTCTTCTTGACGAATTTCTTCGGCTCGCGCTCAACCCCGAGTGGAAGAAGAGGATAAGGTATATCGAACTGGGCGGGAAAGGTGCCTAGGAAGTGCATTTGACCATTACTTTGGCAAAGGACCACGAAATCTTAAAGCCTGGCGGGACTTGTGCAGGGTTGTCGCCATCGAACCAGTACCATCTTCGATAACGAAGTGCAGAAAGGTTTGTCCACGTCGCAAACTGCGATTGGCGGCCTGAGCTCACCGGGTACAGGAACTTTCACAAATCTCATCTGGCAGTAGCCGGCTCGATTAATGCCAGAGATCGAGATATACTGGGGCATGATCTCTGCCCAAGCTTCCTCTAGAACCAGCAACTCATGAAGGAAAGGCTGATATCGCCAAGGAGGAAGGGAAGTTGAAACATCCGGCCTCGACACCAAGCGATTTGCCTTTGAGGTCCTTGACCAGTAGGAGCAGCTCTTCCAGGCCGTTTGCGGTGTTCTCGTTTTCCTCCTCATCATTATCGTCGCTGTCTTCGACATCTCGGAATTGGAATGGTGGACTCTTGGTCCGAGCTGCTCGGCGTGTGCGTCGTAGTGCCTGATTCTCGCGGACCTTAGCGGATGGTACCGGTGTACGTTTACTTCGAGGTGCAGCAAGAGGAAGCATCTGGAGTGCCCCATACCTCCAATGCTTGAACTTGGGCCACAGAATGGCGTCACTGATTCTGGATCGACGATCCCGACCTCTCAACCTCAGAATTTTTTGGTGGTGGAGATACTGTTTGGTAATCATTCTCAAATGTCACTATGGTTCCGGAAGGCATTCTTGGAAATGCAACAGGTGGCCTGCCGAACGATAGCAAAGTGCTGGATCAAGAGAATACATCCCAAGAAGGTACACCGGGCTCGCTTCTTAGCAACAAAATCAAGCATTGTGCTGAAGGTTCCCAGCAATCAACACATCCTTATAACGGAAGGGCTAAAAAGGTATTACATTGAAACTAATTAGCAGCACACCCCCGTACTGGCCATCAGGTAAGTACAGGATCGCAATGCGATTATTAATGCACCTCTGGCATCCTTCCTGGTGATCATAAATCCATTCAAATGATGACAGAAGTGTCCAGATGTAGTGCACAAGGAACCAGACCATGTATGTCGTCTTGGTATGTATCTTGTTCCAGAGTCTTGTTCTCGACTTGGGATTGAATGTCGGGTAGATCGGATCCGTCTTCTCGTGAACAACTGCATGGTATAGTGAAGTTAGTAAACCGGCATCTAAAAATTATCCAAACGGTTCAGGAGGATTTCCAATCATTTTCAGAACGTTCTGAGGAGCAAGACTTCCTTGATCATACTCTAGAGGATTTCGGGCAACTAGCGGATACAATTAGAATCGATTACCTAGATCCCCTAGAGCATATGATAGACATGGTAAGAAGCAACGAACAATGACCGGAAATCTACTGTTAACCTTCTACTTAGATGTACAAGTCTGTGACGATTCGTGACTCCCGTCAATCTCTTGAGCTGAACGCAAGTCTTTGGAGATTGAGCTGGGTTACATTCATCTTCCTTCCTATGACGTTCCTGGTCGGCTTTTTCGGTATGAATGTCGACACCTTTGAGAATAACCCTTCAATTAAGTGGTGTTTCTTGGCGATGGGTCCGTTGGTAAAGCATCTTCGGGTCTTTCTAATGAAGGTTTGCTGATTTAGCACCAGTTCGGAGTTGTTTTTCTCTTCTGGTTTGCGTTCCGTATGTTAGCACCTGCGTCAAAATTCCCGGCAATAAGAGAGGATTTCGACATTGGACAGCTAGCCTCTTGGACTTCAGAATAAATACGGTCTTCGGCTCATCTCAGTCATTTTGAGTTCATGGGCCTCTGTGCTCGTGCTTGTGAATATCTGCAGATCACCACTCTTGAGTTGATGGGCCGCAACGAGCTTGATCGCTC